TTTTATGTTTTTATAATACTGAATTTGTACCCACTGTATATATATATATATATATATATATACAGTATATGTATTACAGATGATTCCCCCATATGATCAGATCAGAATTAAAAATGTAATCTTCAGATTTTGTTTACACTGTCATCGAAAAAAACTAAACACAGATCTGTGTCAAATGCGAGAGGAGAAATCATATTTGGGCCACATTCAGCTGCAATGTGAAAGCAGCCCTGTCACACAGAGCTTGAGAGAGATGAAAGTGCACCGCTACAGAGACCTGAGATAGGATTGTGTGCGTGTGCGTGGAGGGATTCAGATATAATTTGCATGAAATGCATCCAAAATCTTAATGATTTGCAAGCTGGTTGTTTTATCTTACACAATGGGAAGGAAGGGGAGTGCAGAGAGAGAAAGAGAGGGAGTGTTCAATCAACTTCTCGTTCATTTTTTTCAAGCTCCTGTTTTTCTCTGACTATTTTAGTGCAGTAGGTTGCGCAGGATTGAGAACATGTGAATGTTTTATAGGCTTACATAAGGGACCTCACCCCAGAGACAACCGACCTCGTTATTGTTCATTTAGCAGTGAAAAACAAGATAGATAGATGGGGTGGGGGTAGATGAGAGGATGAAAAGAGAATGGGGAATGCAGAGGGAGAGGGGAGAGAAAAGCATGTGCATGCAGAGGAACCGAGCATGATGGGATACATTTGTGAAGTGAATGTAGGAGAAAGAGGCTTTGGGGGAAAGAAGCAGGCTTCAGGTGTGCGAGTGATCCGAGCGTTCCAAGAGAGAGAAAGGGTGGAAGGGAGAAAATAATGCAGTTGATTCCAGTTTGATTCCATTTCGTTTCTTTTATCTGTTACCCAGAGTGCCTCAGGGAAGCTTGGCTTGTTAGCATCGCTTGGGCAAAGAAATACAGGGTTCTTAGCTGGAGATACAGATGAAACATCTCTCTTTCTCCTTCCTTCTCTTGCTTTCCCCCTTTTACTTACATAAAAAGGTCAGAGTTTCCTATAGCAGTGGGGAGCCGTTTAAAGCGCACCTGATATTAGAGTGGAAGCTTGTCTCTACATATCTAAGCCCTCGTACATCTGGAAATCATTGCATAATGTGCAGCCGACCAAAGCTAACTGTGTGTTTGCATGTGTGCATTTGAGAGCCACAAGCCTGTAGTATATAGGCACATACCTCCTAGTTTATTGGGTCAGTGCGTTCAGGTTTAATATGACCATGTAATTGCCTCATCTCTTTTTGACTTTGTTATTAGTGTGATGCGACTCAAAGACCCTTTTAGATTTAAACATCTTGTTCTGTTTGGAGTCTCAGGGACCTCACAGCCATGAAAAATATACTACACTCTAAAAAATGCTGGGTTGTTTCAACCCAACTTTATTTGGTCAAGGGCAATGCAGTCAACCAGGAACACAGAGGACTGTGCTCAATGACAAGAGCTTTGCTTTTCTGGAATAGAATAGTAATTTATGTGATGTAAGGCTGTATTGTGTTTTTAATGCTCTCACAACAAGTTAAAAGAGTGTGTTTTGAAGAGCCTGTGATGTACGTCATCACAGAAAGCTTTTGTTGCATGATTCTACTGAAAACTGAAAATATCCTGGTCATATTTTTCCCCAATATCAAAACTAAAACAAAATGGAAGTGCATAAAATTAAGCCTATTTTACAGACTATTAATATTGTTTGTATTTTAAGAGTATTGTTATATTATATTTTTTTATGTTTTTATAATACTGAATTTATTTCGCTAATAATAAATAATAATAATTTTTGGATGAAGTATCCCTTTAAGTGTCATAGAAATAGGCTTTATTTTCTTAAAGCTGCAGTCCGTAACTTTTTTTTTTTTTTGGTTAAAAATTACCCAAAATCAATTTCTGAAAATTTTTGAATCAAGTACATAACCAGCCAGTGTTCAAAACTATCTCCTTACCTTAGCCTGATTCACAGCGGTAAGCTTATAATATAAGTTTAAAAAGTTGTCCTGGCTAGTAGGCTATATCTCATGTGAGGATCCTGCAGGTGGCGAATCGTTTATAGCCTTTTCTCACAGCAGCTGGAATAATTAAATTTATCATTTTGAAGGCAGATTGTAATTCAGAAAGGATTATGTGTTTCTGAAATTGTAAGTGACTGAAATTAGATTATATTCCAGTTTTAAATGTGCATCTGATTACAGATAGCCTACGTGGGATTACACAAGTTTTGTATTTTAAAGAGAACCAGTTCTAAAGAAGGATAATTTGCTTTTTGGGTTAAAATAATTTCTTTATACGGAATTCGAATGGTAGGACAATTAGAGATTAGACTGTACAGAAATTAAAATCTTCAGCTAACGGTAATACACACATAGTCACGCAATGCTGATGTTGTTAACTAACAATTTGAGAACAAAGTATAACAATAATAATCATTTGCACGGTTTGATGGGATATGAGCTAACTTTGCGACCGTTAGATTTAATCACCATTGGTAGCGCAATTTATTGTAATGCTTTTTTCATCAGTTGGTCAGAACAAAAGTGATAGAGTTGTTGCTTGCTTGTTCAGATGACAATATCCAGTGAAAATTCTTATTTGGGCCATACTTCCAAGATGAAGGCTAGAATCTGTGATTCCAAAGTGTGTACCATGTACAAAATAAAGCATTTTACTTTGGACAGAGGCTGCATTTCAAAAGGATTTCAGACAATTAGTACAAAAATAAAGCTTTTTTTTTTTTACATTGCAATACTACTCTGAAACAAACAAACAAAAACGACTAAAACAGTCTGAAATCATAAATATAGTACTGTTGAAAAAATGTGACAAAATGAAGGTTCCAGTTCCTCAAGGTCACCATGATGTAGTGTCTGGACCAATCAAACACACAATATATATTTTGTTAGCTATATTTAACAAATACTCTGTAACACCCCTCAGTTAACAAGCCATATGAGGACCTATGGACCCTTCCCCCGAAATGCGTAACACCTCAGGAAAGCAGAACAGGCCCCTGGTCCCCATGGCAACTAATGCTGATATCACTGGTTTTATGACCCAGAGGAATGTGAGCAGGGAAAATCACTGCCTTTTCCATAGGAAGAGACACAGTGCACAGTAGAAATGGACTCTTTTCTAATTAATCCATAGGAAAACCTTTCTTTGAATGAACACACATATCCTTCAGGTCATTGTGTATGTTGTCTTTGAGATTTTATACTGTTTTATGCAGGCTTATGATGGAAACACTCATTCCTGTCATCTTACCTATATGTAATCCTACCATGTTTAGTATCTATGAATTAGTCTTCTGATGATCTAAACGAGAGTGTATATTATATGTTGGTACATAGGCAATATATTAGTGTACCAGGAAATTAACGTTCTTAGAATTGACAGACAGTTGACCCTGAGAGGTCAAGTAAATATCTACAGCGGATCTAAATATTTATAATTAATTATAACTAGTTATGATTAATTATTCATATTTCCCCATGAGCTGATTCGCAACAATGACTTTCCTTAAAGAAAAGCATAGCAAATGTGTATTTACTTACTTGGAATGTTTCAGATTTACAGTGGCTAAAATATAATGCATTTAAATAACACAACATGAGACATAATGAGTTACACTGATAAAAGCTATTTTAAGGATCTGGTCAGGTGAGGTAACTGCACTTTTAAGGCAAGGTACGCTTCTGTTTTACAGTTTGGCGAGTCCCCTGCATGTTTTTACTGTTGAATTATTAATTAATCTCAAAATCAATATACTGCTTGAAATATTTAATACTCATACACTCAATATATAAAAATATACAATATATAAAAAGTGTATTGCTTCTGAATTGCTGTAGCAATAGTATTTGTCACAATTTGGGCTTTTTATTTTTGGCTTTGTACTTGGAAAGAAAATCACACAGAGTCACATCAGTCATCACTGTTCGAGGCCACCTGTACCTCAGTATCTCAGATGATGTAATAAACATAAATATAATGCTGGTTTTGTTGGGGGCACTTTGCAAAATCACATTATGTAAAATATGGGGCCTATTTAGGTTTTTCGTTTTTTATATCTTGGTTATGAAGGCTACAGTAGATTATTTGACTGTCCTATCAGATTTTAATATCTCTATATTCTTCATCTCCAGAGTTTCAAAAAGCAATTAACTGCTTTTATTACAAGCTCATGCCATCTCCTGTGTACACACACACATGCGCACAGCGATCCGCCAACACACACACGTACTTGCATATGCAAACATTATAAAACACAGCAGTTAATTACAACAATGAAACATAATTAGTTAGTGTATAATTAGTTGCACGGGTTAACTTCTCTATAGCAACCAAGCTTTAAAATGAACTCTGACTCATATTGACTTAACATCTCAATAATTATATGCAAATCCACAAGGAGACACACACTTTGCCTTTCGGACATTAGCCGGATCGGAGAACATGCTTAACTTCTTCCTTTGATGTTTTTTGATTGTCTTTCAAAAGCCTTCAAGAAAAGCGCCATGCTGAGAAAATTAGCATGTGTGTATTAGTATCTGTATGTGTTGTGTGTGTGTGTGTGTGTGTGTGTGTGTGTGTGTGTCTATAGCAACCAAGCTTTAAAATGAACTCTGACTCATATTGACTTAACATCTCAATAATTATGAGATTTTCTGACAAAAAATCTGCCTTTTAATAGCTCAAAATTTGTCTTTTGTCACAGTGGCATATGTGCCTGTTTGTATCTAAAGCTTTATCTGCACAAATTAATGAGGTTTTTTTAACCTACTGGGTCTGATGTGTGTTTATGGATTTAATAATTGAAAAATAATGTAACTAAAAGAAATATTGCACCTGAAAAAAACAATTCTGTCATTATCTTTTTTATTTTATTTTATTTAGTTTATTTAATGTTTTATAGGACGGCCAAATGGTCGATTAATAAAGAAACTTTGCAAATTTCTAAAGATGTAGAGACTAATATCTCTGTCCTCCTGTCTCTCTGCAGTGGACGGCTGCACTGATTGGTCCGTGGACTATCTGAAATACCGGGTGTTACACGGAGAGCCGGTGAGGATAAAGTGTGCTCTGTTTTACGGTTATATCAGAGCCAACTACACCCAGGCACAGAGCATTGGACTTAGTCTGATGTGGTACCGAAGTTCTGGGTTGGGACATGGCGACTTCGAGGAACCCATCTCCTTTGATGGGGTACGCATGAGCAAAGAGGAAGACGCCATCTGGTTTCGGCCTGCTGAGCTGCAGGACGCCGGTCTGTACTCCTGCGTTCTGAGGTGAGAGAGAGGGACACGTGCACATGTGTATGTGTGAACACTTATACGCTTAGATACGCTTAGATTTTTGTTTTTTTTTTTGTTTTGTTTTTTTATGCATAGGTAAACATTTATATATAGTATATTCATAGTCAAAATCTGTCAGTAGGTTAGCTGTGTATAGGTACAGCGTTTATGTGTTGTGTGTGTGTGTGTGTGTGTGTGTGTGTGTGTGTGAGGGTTGTGTTTCTGTATCCAAAGACAGTAAAACTGGAAGTGAAATAAGTGAGCGACGGCAGAGGACAGTGAGACGTTCTGTCATCCATCAATCAAACACTGACACTCCAGCACTCTCCCATAATGCCGCAGGCCACTGTCACACATATTAAACAGTCAGGCAATTCTCCAGGGTCCTCATTTGCTCAGGTTCCGACCGACTTGAGGTCAAAGCACATAATCTACTCATCATATTCACTTTTGCATCACAGAATGTCACACTTATTGTTTGTGTGTGTGTGTGTGTGTGTGTGTGTGTACTGAAAACAGACAGACAGAAACAAGAAAAGAATGAATTTTAAATACCGTGCTGCCTTAATTTCAAGCATTCCTGTAGGACATATAAAATATTTCAGTAATTATTAATAAAATATTCAGTAAAAAGTACAGTAATTATTTTTACACAAAATAAACACAGAGACCTGCTAGAAATCACTTTAAGGAATCCTATGCTTTCAGTGTGAATGTGGTTTTAAAAGACACCTTATTTCTAAGGCAGCATCACATGTATCCTTTGCAAAGAAAACAATCCCAACAGAATGCATCAGAGAAAATAATCATCCAAGTTGGCAAACGAGTCGCAAGACATTTTAAAGGGATAGTTCTTCTAAACTTGTGTGATTTTCTCTCTTCTGCGGCACACAAAAGAAGAAATTGTGAAAAATATTGGACTCAAACAACACTGGAGTCCAATTCATGAAAATATTGTCTTTTAAGTTCCACAGAAGAAAAGAATCGTCATATAGGTTTAGAGTTGAGTTAATGACAGAATTGTCATTTTTGAGTAAGCTATAACTTTAAATAAAATAATATTGCCAATATTTTAATCATTCATCAGCAAAACATAAAAATAAAAAAGTGAAAGTGAGTCCAACGATATTGTCCTTTTGTGTTATTATTGTTTTAGTGGTGGTGTGGACTTTCCTATTTTCACAGAATTATGATTTGGAACAATTAGAACATTAGAACAACGATCAAAACTTTAGATTTATCATTATAGTTATTCTTGGTATGAACAGCCTTTAAGAATATTGCACTTTTTAGCTTATGCTAATAATGTTGACTTGATTTAGCTCACAATTTTAACTTTTTCACGTCAGTGTAATATGATGAAGTTCTGATGATTTATGTGTTATTTGCAAAAGCAATAAGATTTAGTCAGTATGCTCAATTCATTTTGAATGGCCGGCAGTGGAGTAAACAACCATTTTTGTCAGCATAATTGTTGAGATTGCAGCATTTCTCAGCAGTGGATAAAAGCCTAAATTAACTATCCAAACATTGATCCCCTAATGACTGCTAGTTGTAAGATCAGTCACTTATGAGATTCCAATTCAGTTAGGATGCTGCCTAAGAAGGAAGCTGTCTATGAAGGCAGCTCACTAGGTTTAAAACAGAGCTACAGAGATTTGTTTATTAAGAACCCAGTTAGCAACAGGAAATAGGATTTGTTGTTGTTGTTCTGTTTCCTCTGAGACTGGCTTTGAGCTGATTAAACCATAAACAATAGTTTTCAGCAACACACCAGTAGGAGAGAGCAGATATTTTAGTATTATTTTTAGGTTTATAGGGTGATAAAACGAGACTGTGCTGACATATGCGGGTGTCTGAAAATAATGAGAGTGTAAAAATAGTCTTTGCTATACAGTTAATAGGGCAGAGAGAACGACAGCTTATAGTTTTTTTTTGTTTGTTTTTTAGACAAGTGCATTGCAGGTTGCCGCCCCAAGCACTCTGTAACCACGGTAACCCGGTAGGGGGTGTGAGGTCATTACACCGAAAAGGTCAAATTTCAACAAATCTTATCAGCAGCTATTAAACTCAAAGCCCTTGGACAAAACAAACACTAAAGCACTTTTAATGGAGACACACTCATCAATGTAGAGAAGTGTGTGTTGACATGCAATGCTTCTGAGTTACAGAGCGTGTGAATATGCGTTTTGCGGTTGTATAATTTTCTTTTACTGACTTTTATGCAAACAAAAAACAGGATCATATAATTAGTCTCATTTTTTAAAGTAAATAAATAAATAAATGCTCATAATAATTTGAAAACATACTGTTTTCAGAACCGCAAAAACATTTCATTCTGTACTTTCACATCTTTCATAGACGTCTTAAAGGCACAGCAGCAAAAAACAAACAAACATCCAATTTAATTAAGTGTCATAGAGAGTGTAGGATACTAAATTTGACATGTTTTTCTGCTGAAAAACATTCACTTACATTATAAGTGGACCTCGGGGGAAATGGAAAGTGATAAACAATGTATGAAATTACCCTTTAAAACCTTTAAGAGAACATTTCATTCTATTCATTGCTACTTATATTCCATCAGCAAAACACTAATTATTTGTAGCCCTACATGAAAATTGCAGACAAGTTCTGCTCCATCATGGTCAAATTACATTTATCATGGTTGAATTACAAATAAAATCATGTTTTATTCTTGTATAATTTGTTTAGTGTATAGGCTCTGTGAGATGATAACCAATTTACGATCAGTGATGTCTCTGGGTGCGTATATGTTAATCTGATTACAGATCGCACAGTTTATATACTCTGTGTGTGTGTTACAGGAATTCCACGTTTTGTATGAAGGTGTCTATGACTCTGTTGGTTGCTGATAATGACACAGCAGGATGTTATAACTCAAAACTGCGCTACACTGAGAAAGGAGAACTGGGCAAGAGTAAAGACATCTCCTGTCCTGATATCCAGGATTACGTTCAGCCTGGAGAAAAACCGCAGATAACGTGGTACAAGGTACAGTGGGAGATACTCCGAGGTGAATTCACTAAACAGTTGCGCCGTTCAGTGCACAAACCAGCATCTTATTCACAAAACACCTGCGATCCAGCGTCACGGCAGCTGCCCCCTGAGAATTTAAATGAAGTCATTGTCGTTCTTTTCAGTGCAAACACACCTCCTTTTTATGCAAATTAGGGTTATTATACTTTATGCCAGTAAGTCAGTGCTATTTGTCGAGGGCAATTAACATTGTGCTTTTACTGTGCATGCAAACTGTAAACAGAAAATTATTTAAAATAGACTGTTTATGTACATTTTCAATCAATCATGCCAGCAGTAATTTATCAAATGATGATTATAAAGTGTTATAAACTACATTTGAGAGCACTTCCTGCATTTTAAAGAACCGATTCAGTTGTCTGGATTGTGGCAGTGACCCACAAGATCAGGAAGTCCAGTCTGCAAATTGTTTAGCACTGATTTTTCTGGGCCATGTTTGTGCCGTTGCTTGATTTGCATGCTGTCAGCAAGCGCAGTTTATTCTTATTGAATTCCCCTCTGAGTTTTTTCATTATGACGGTATATGCAAATGTATATGGTGCAGTTTTGTCTCTTTGTTTCTATATTTTTTTTCTCTTTTTCTCTTTGCCTGCGGCTGTGCAGGAGTGTAACGTGCAGCAGTGGAGGAGCAGCGTGCTGCAGACCGCAGACATGCTCTCCATACAGGAAGTGAAGGAGGATGACATCGGCAACTACACCTGTGAGCTGGTTTTTGGAGGCTTCCAGGTGCGGAGGACGACCTATCTGAGCGTGACAGGTAGTACAGTGTGATGTCTCTTCAGTGTGCGTCTGTGTGTGAGAGCACTTGCTGTGATACCCAGTTGTTTTTTGAAGCGTGAGGTATTAGTCTTCCTTTTGCGTCTTATTTGGTTTCAGTTGCATTCACTGTGCTGTGCTTTTGTTAACAGTGACTTTCCTGCCTGTGTCATTAATGCACAAGTTTTTCAGTGAATGAAACTTTTAAGTCTGTTCCTCATAAAAAGCTTTCATATGATTTCAGAAGATTCAAAATATAGTGCATGAGTCATATGGACTACTTTGTGTGGTTTTCGGAGCTTAATAGTCAGTCATCATCCATCATTTGTATCATTTTGTGTTCCATGGATGAAAAAAAAATCATACGATTTAGAATGAGAGTCTGATTGTTTCTTTCATTCATTTTTTTGATTTTTTAAAGAAATTTCCTAATCTATAATCAAAAAGTTAGATGTATTTTTGCAACACAGAATGTATACAGAAAATAATTGAACAATGTAGGATAGTTGCAAAAAGTTTTTTTATTTCATTAGTTTTAATTATTGTAACTATTTCTTATTCAACGAAAAAAGTGAATACAATGAAACCACAAACACTAAGTAAACCCCATCCTGCATTGTGAGTTAAGGCATGTTCACACCAAGGACGATAACTATAAAGATAACGATATAGTTCTAAAAATCGTTCTCAATATTAAAGAATAGTAGAGTCCACATCACAGCTATAACGATAAAGGCACAGAGAAACTATATCATTGGAATCACTTCCAGAACTATTTTTTTCCAGCTGAGGAACGATACACTGGTGCCCAATCAGAATCTGATTCTGATTGGGTGTCAATGTTTGTATAGTTCATCAGCTGCAAAAAAAAATCATTCTGAAAGTCATTATCATTTATCATTATCTTTATAGTTATCGTCCTTGGTGTGAACGGGCCTTTAAGCCCCGTTCACACCAAGAACGATAGCTATAAAGATAACTATAAAGATAAAGATATTAGCGTCCACACCAGCGGACGATATCGTCTGTTTATTCTAAGCGCACACTTGTCTGCCGGATGGCATGTAAGTTGCCTTTATATTTTATGACTTCTGAAATGTCTTTTTTCTGTTTTTCATCGTAAATTGTATGGTAAATCATAGTTTTTACATGCAAAAAGCATTCATTTGACTAAACCTTTTTACTGTTACAGTATCTTTTTTACAGTTTATGGATAAAATATGCAAAGAATGTTTTGCCCAGACTGGCACCATGCACATTTTCTTCAGAAAAGTTTCATTTAGTGCCACAGAAATTACAAACTGCAGCTTTAAATACAGTAATTTTAATGATAGATGTGGTGATGAAGTGGTTAATGTTAACACAGCTGTTTTTTATTATTAATATTAATATTAATATTATTCATAAGCTTTTGGCCTTTAGGATAGTCGAGAGAGACAATGAGGGGGAATGAGATCGAATTATGACAAGGCCAGACCTGTGTTCCCGTGAGCAAAACTGTGTCGTGAACATGTGCACTATCCACTACACACATTACTCAGACCTCTATTACTGCTCTACTCACACAATAACAGAGATAGAGAGAGAGAGAGAGAATTACATTTATACACACACAACACTAAGACGGCAACGGAAAGGTCATTTTAGTCTATATTTTTATGTTTAAACATATCTGTCTACCATTAAACAGATTCTTATTGGTCCCTTGCGAATTCGGTCCTTTCTGCCACTATAGCAGGTCAATAAAACAGCACATACAGGTGAAAAGAGGTCAGACGTTATTCTCTCTCCCTTTCTAAGCCCTCATTCAGTTGAAACCTATTAAAACACTCTGCGCCTCTCCTCCCGTACTCATTTAAAGCCTATTTTAGGATGGCATTAGACTCTCAGGGACGATTTCCTGGATGGAACTTATAGTCCAGGACGGCAAATGATTCTCAACGGAAAAGCCACCATTAACAGTAAAATTTAGTCCGTAGCTCGATTTAACCCTCGTCACGGAGGCAGAGTTTTGATGTTAGGAGTCGTAGAGCAGTTACGGCAGAATCATAGCACTATAGCTCAATTTGTTTTGAGCTGGTTACAGCAGTACGTCTCTATAATTGCTACAGAAACTTGCCTCGATGGTACATCTCTGCAGCGGGTTATCTGGTGGAGCTGCCTGTGCATCTGAGGGAGGAAGTTAGCGAAAGAACACGGAATTATTTTCTTGTTTTGAGTGCTTACAGACAGTCTATTACTGCGGACATGCTTTTCGACAACAAAGAATGGAGCGCTCGTGCATGTCTGAAAATTTGAAGCGTGAAACTGACCTACAAAAATACACGGCCCGTGATCTGAATCGGTGCTATTGTACATCCTCTCTCGAGGCAGAGGGCCAAAAATGTGTGTAAACAGTTAATCATGCGCATTGCACACACAGTGAACAGTGAAGAAATGACTTCCTGGGTGAGCGTGATTGTTGTGTAGTTGGGTGTAAACTCTAGATATCAGTCAAAAAGAGTGTTACATTTTTTACAGCTGAAGCACGTGCTTTGCTATTAGCTTTGGAATATATTGAAAATGCACAACAAAAGGATTCTATCATTTTTACGGACTCTATTTACGGTATTATTTTTTGCTGGGTTCCAGGCCATGTTGAGCTTTCAGGAAATGAGCGAGCTGATGCAGCTGCAAAGGAGGCTTTTAATCAGGAAGTAAACACATGTCAAATGCCTCCCTCAGAGATCAGACCTATTATTAATCGTTATAAGTGGCAAGAAGAGTGGGATACTTGTACAAATAATAAATTACATGAAATACATCTGGAAATTTCAAACAGATTTTTAATCTCTTTTAAAACTAGATTTGATCAAGTGGTATTTACCAGATGTCGCATAGGTCACACAAGACTGACTCGTGCATTTTTGCTTAAAGTTGAAGGCCCTAATCAATGCATGTTCTGCAAGATTCCCTTTTTTGTCAAACATATTTTATTGGACTGTCCAGCTTTTAATGTATGGAGAAAACTCTTTTATGAAGTGAACTCACTTAAAGATTTATTCAGTATAATTTTGGCAGAAAAGGTTTCAGAATTTTTATCATATGTTAATGTTAAAAATCTTGTGTAATATAACTTGTGTTTGCTTGTTTGCTGGTTTTTATTGTATTTGTTATACTTGTATTTTTTTTATTGTTTTTGCCATGAAAATAGCCTTAGATGCTGACATAGCATCAAATAAATATATACTACTACTAGATATCAGTCACAGAAGCTGATTATTATAGTAATGGGGCAGAGAAATAGTTCAAGCTGGTTTTTAACAGTGAATAAGTGGCCTTTCAGTACAGTACTGTGTGCTATTATGTTTATATATATACATCATGCTCTTGGAGAGTCCGATGTCCTGCACGTTGACCTGGCCGGTCTGCTGCCCTCTCTCTCACCCAGTGATTCATCATGCTTTGCCTGTAGTCGAAGAAAAAAACATATAGTATTACAAAGGCACATAAAAAATGTAGCTGAATATATTTTTTTTTTTTAGATA